CAAACTCCCCCTCCTGCATCCAAAGCAGACCCATTTTTGCCCCCAAAAGCAGCTTTTTCCACCCAAAACGCCACTTTGATGCCAAATCCCCATTTGCCCACTCGAAATGCACCTTTTCCCCCCAAATCACCCCCAAAATGCCCACACCACCCCCCAAATCCCRTTTTCCCACCACAAACACCCCCTTGCATCCAGAGAAGCCCCAGTTTGCCCCAAACTGCCCGTTTTTCACCCAAAACGATCCACAACGCCAAATCCTCCCTTCCCACCCCAAACACACCTTTTCCACCCCAAATGCACCTTTTCCCCCTAAATCACCCTCAAAATCCCTCCTCGAGTGCTCCCCCCACCCCCAAATCCCATTTTCCCACCAAAAACGCCCCCCTGAATCCAAAGCAGCCCCAGTTTGCCCCAAACAGGCCTTTTTTCACCCAAAACAAGCCATCAACGCCAAATCCTCCCTTTTCCACCCAAATGCACCATCTCCCCCCAGACGCCCCAAAACACCTCCCCAGRGTGTTTTTCACCCCCTAAAATCCCCTTTTCCCACCCAAAACGCCTCGCCCGCCCTCTGCACCCCGTGCGACGCCCATTTTGCCCTAAATGGGCGTTTTTCCCCCCAAAACGGGCAGCGGGTACCCCCGGGTGCCGGCAGCGCCGCTGCAGAGCCGTGTCCCGGGAGCCGACGTCACACATGGGGAGCTGCTCTGGGGGGGACACGGGGCTCAGCCTGGTCCCCAATGTCACCTTGGGTGTGACAAGGGGGACACTGGGGACGCGTCTTGCGCCCCCTTGGGGACACGGGGTCCAATCCTGCACCCCATATTTGTGGGGGAACATGGGGACTGATCCTGCACCCCATTGATGAGGGGGATGTGGGGCTGGGGACTTGGGACCCCAATTTGGACCCTATAGGAGACATGGGGTCCAATCCTGCACCCCATATTTATGGGGGGACACGGGGTCCAATCCTGCACCCCATTGGTGATGGGGACATGGGGCTGGGGACTTGGGACCCCAATTTGGACCCTATTGGGGACATGGGGCTCGACCCTGCACCCCATTGATGAGGGGGATGTGGGGCTGGGGACTTGGGACCCATCTCAGACCCTATAGGGGACATGGGGTCCAATCCTGCACCCCGTGTTTGGGGGGGACACGGGGACAGATCCTGCACCCCATTGATGA